TGTAGCTCACAAAAATAGTAAATACAGAAATATAAAATGAAATGAATCAAATGTAGATATGTAGGGCACAATATATGTGACGCTTAAAACAGATTTAGAAATCATAGCTACATGTTGTGTAAAGAAATGATTTAGTAATTCTGCTTATCTATGAGATTAAAAATAAACATACTAGACAAATTTTTAAAAGATCATGCACTCTCTTTTCTTCTTTACTTCCTAAGAAACAATGTTAACCACAGATATGCCAGAACATGAATCCAAATATCTGAAGATCCTTAAAGGATAGAGATGATCACAAAGCTGGTTTCCAAGAAAACACAAATCCAGATAAATACAGGAGGGGCACATATCTGCTTTCAGTGGACATCTTCCTCTTCATAAGGCTAAAATTTTAGAAAAAAATGTCTATAAACAAGTATTTTTTAAAATAATCCACTTCAAAACACTAAAAATGCCCACTTTCAAATACTGAAAGATTTACTGCTTGTGAAATACCTTATAATTAATTTAAGACTCCCAATAATTCCATTGAAGCAATAAGAAGTTACAATAAGATTAACCTTTTTGCTTTTAAAATAAAAAGGAAGTCTTCCAATTAAACAGCAGACATGCATTTATCTCTAATTCTTATGGAAAGCCCACTAAAATTAAAAGTATCAAAAGTTATAAACAAACAAGGAAAAAATCAGATGGGAAAATAACTACAGATACAATATGCCAACAAGTTTGGGGACATAAATGAAAACTGGGTAGGGCAGTGATAACCAACTGGAGAGAAGGAAAGCGAATGTTTATGTGAGAAACTGGATCCATGCTCAGGAACTGGAGGCAAGCGGGGAGGTGGATGGGAGGGTGGGATAAAAATACAGGATTGGCTGACAGTCTGTGTAAGAAGCACACAGACTTTTAATTTCCCTTCCTGGTTTATGGAGGCAGGTGACAGACATTACCATGGACACGTAGTTTAGTCTCTGAAGACTTTAAACCAGAAAAGTCTTGAACTCAGGAACACTGATTAATACAAAGAGACCGTATTGAGTAAGCCTACATACTGAACGCTGTTTGACTTGCGGCCACATCACCCCAACCTCTGCGTCTGTGGCTACTTTGCCTTTCCACTTCTGTCGAATCTCCCCTGTGCATCTCTTGTGAGGATACTGAACACTGGATTCAGAACCCACCCAGATAATCCGGGATAATCTCTTCACCTCAAGATCCTTAAATTAACTATATCTGCAAAGACCCCTTCTCTAACTAAGGTACATTTTATAGGTTCTAGGAATTAGAACACAAACTCAGCATTAAAGGGGCCACTGTTCCATCTACTACATATAATCCAACTAAAAATGAAGATATCCTATACCCTTTTCCAGACAGCAACTGGTAAATGTGACCTTATCAAAATGAGAGTGAAAGACAAGAAATAAGAAGACAGTCCAAGAAACAGAGGCTACTGCAAAGGGAAGAAGCAAAGGGAATTCCCAGGACAGTGACAGAGCAAAGTCCAAGTGCGGACCAGGGTAAAGAACCGCCCGTCCACATTGCAGCACCATGACCACGGAGAAAATAGTACTGAGAAGGGTTTAAAGAAAAAAAAAGAGGCAACTGTTAGCTCTAGGAAAACAAAAACTGTAAGGAAGCTAAGTTGAAGAATAAAGAAGTATTATCTTACATTACTTTGTTCAGGAGTAAATGATGTTTACATTGAATACTGATTTAGCTAAAAGCATTAATATGCTTACATTAGAAGGACACAGTGTGGGAGGTATGGCAGCAAAGGAAAGAATGACAATTCTTTGTCTTCCATAAAAGGTATCTAATATTGATTTAAAAAATAGTCTAAATATTATTTAAGATACAGAGGTAAATACCACAACAAAGATCTAAGAATTGAAAATCTTTACCTTGGAAGGGAGCATAGCAAGGGGCAGAGAGGGATGGGGAAGAGTACTGGCAATTTTTTTAGTCACAAGTTCCCTTCTGGAACCATGCTCCTATTGCTTTCAAAATAAAATGCATTTAATGCCAAAAAAAAAAAAAAAAAAAAAAAGGTACTCAGAAAAGTATCTTGTTCAGAATCATAACATAGTTAAGAAACATCTGTCACAATGCCTTAAAACTTCTTGTATCTTGCAGGAGTATAGAAATTCTTGAAAAGGGGCTCTTAAAAATAAATTTCCAAGTTCTGAGTGTTCCTAAGGAATAAGAAAACAAAAACAAAAACCAGACACAACCAAAAGCACCCCTAATGTATGTTCACAGAATGGATCCAACCTCTAGTTTATATTACTACAATTTTATCCAGCTTTCTTAATATAAAACTAATGGCTCTTTTTTGTTTTTGAACATAGACATTAATGTCACAACTACAAATAACAGGTGTAATAGGGTAAAGGAGCTGAAGACATAATGAAGGTATCTCCAGATTGGTATCCTGATAGTTGCCAGTGAATCCAGTTTATACGTGGATGGACTCTAATGGTAAAGATTTCATAATATTAGGAACACAGGATAAAAAGGCTGTGTTCTGACCCTTTATGCCCAGGAAAGGGACAAGAATTTCCCTAAAGCTCTTCTCTCGGACTGTCTGAGAAGGGAAGGAGCATAGAAAAGGTGCAGTAGCAATGGTGCTAGGAAAAGGTAAAATATGAGAAAAAAAGAAAATTTTATTTTTCTACTTAATTAGTATCCTTCTTTATCCATTTCGTTAATCCATGTCTCATTTTGAATCATGTTTTGGCATACTACTCCCAACCTTCCCTTCCCTCCTTCTCTTCAACTGCTTTAAAAGTCCACCTATTCCCGGTAACTTACACCGGTTCACTAATCTATGTCCTAACTGAATATGACAGTCACATCACAATCCCCCCCACGAATAGGGCAGCCTCTTAATTTACTTCTTACAGTACCTAATGTAACTGATGATCACATGCAGTCTAGACATACTAATTTAGAAGTTTTTAATCTACTTATTTAATTGAAGTCATCTATCTGAATTGCAAGACTTTTTTAAAAGATACAAGGATAACACCAGGTACAACTAGGCAGATATTTTTGATATTAATAACTGATCCAATTACAAATATTATAGTACTTTTATATTATTCAGATGCAAAATCAAGTCCAATAAAGAGAGTCTGATGGTTGTTCTATAAATATGAAATCAAAGTGAAAGCAACATTTTTAAAAGAAATGTAGCAAGATGTTGTTAGTATGGGGTAAGAAGTTCTAGAAACAAATTACTTTTAGAGCAAAACCACTTCAGTTTGACAGTGAAGTAGAAAAAAACAAAGTCAAGGGCAAAAGTGCAAATGGTAAGAAAAAAACGCAACAATGGTATTGGAAAGAACCCTTCATATATTTCCGTAACTCATGAAAAAAATAATACCAAAGCAAAAACAAATGCTTCTATTAAAGTCGTTCTGAAATGAATAGAAAAAAGAAAAAAATAAGTCTTCTTTTTCCATCTTCCTACTAACTCTCTCATTTAATGCTGCTAGATCTTTCTCCAGTTTTTAGAATAAAATGTCCCTCATGAGAACACAGCAGGTTAGATTTTTTTTTTTATTTTTTATTTTATTTTTTTTAATTTTTTTTTTTTAAGATTTTATTTATTTATTTGAGAGAGAGAATGAGATAGAGAGAGACAGCATGAGAGGGGGGAGGGTCCGAGGGAGAAGCAGACTCCCCGCTGAGCAGGGAGCCCGATGCGGGACTCGATCCCAGGACTCCAGGATCATGACCTGAGCTGAAGGCAGTCGCTTAACCAACTGAGCCACCCAGGCGCCCCAGCAGGTTAGATTTTTTAACTAAAAAGTAACGACCCCCAAACATAGTATTCATGTGTTTGTAATTAATTCTGACACTTTAAAATAGCTACAGCAGTGAGCAGCAGTATTACGTAGATAATTAAAAAATAATTTGAGGGGGCACCTGGGTGGCTCAGTCGTTAAGTGTCTGCTTTTGGCTCAGGTCATGATCCCAGAGTCCTGGGATCGAGCCCCACATCGGGCTCCCATCAGGTGGGGAGCCCGCTCTCCCTCACCTCCCTGCTCGTGCTCTCTCTCGCTATCTCTGTCGCCATTTCTATCTTTCAAATAAATAAATAAAATCTTTGAATAAATAAATAAGTAAATAAATAAATAAATAACAATTTGGGTCCTTTAACATGCAAGAGATAGACAAAGTTAAATAGCTTAGAAACCTTTTGTCTAATTTAGGTAAAATGGCAACTCAATCAAAGGACTTGAAAAATACTTCAGCTCTAGGTTAGCATGAAATTCCTAAATGCTCTTCTTGCCAGAGTTTCAACTGGCAAACCAAAAGACAAACAAAAAACTTACAACAGAGACTCCTGATTAAAGTACTTTTTGTTGGCAATAGAAATTAAGCCATCAAACACACCAGTACTTTACTTTAATTAAGAAACAAAACAAAACAAAACAGCCCTTTTCAGAATAAAGCACATTTCAAAACCTTTCACCTGGTACCTTTTAGAAAGGCAACCTTTGGAGTCCACAGGTCAAAAGGAGCAAGGTTACCATGCCGAAGTACAGAAGAGTATTTATACTCTTCATCTTCCAACTAGTCAAATATCACCAAGCAACCTCATGCAAGAATGACCTTCCGTTATGTTCCCCAAAGCTCTGATCCTTCAAATTTTAGAAGTTATATGCCATCACAATTACCTCTGTGGGTCAAAGTCGCAAACTGAAGCTGTATCCCTCACTTAGGTTTCTAGTCTCCAAAATGCACAAAAGGCAGGATTTCAGATGGGAGAGACCTAGTATCTCTAAAAGATTTACCCAAATCCATTGGTTCCTGAGTTCTAACAGCAGGGGTATGTATGTCACCTATAACTGGCAACTTCCATACTGAATAAATCATCATGAAACTTAAGAACACAAACTTTTAAATTTATAGTGTGCTTTTTCACCCCAAAACTTTATTTTAAGAACTAAAAGTCTGATGCACTGAATCCTATATAAAAGTCTCACCTGTTTGGCTTTCAAGTTCCTTCCAGTCGAACTTTTCTCACTTGTACTTGCATCCATCCCTCTCAGAACACTGATGAAATCTTTCTTGGAAACAGTCGATATCAACTTAGCACGTTTTCTAATAGAGCTTCCAGCTTCTTTAACCTTTTCATCAACATTCTTTTGGTGCTTTTGAACAGCATTAAATAACTGTACCACACCTCTATAGAATATAAAATGACCAGGGTAACACAGTTAAGTAACAGTTACACTAGGATACAAACTGTGAGGATAAGAACAATGTGTTTTTACTGCTTAGGAAAGAGGCAAGCATTTAATAGGCACTCAAATGAAGAGCTGAATCTAAAAAAATGAACATACATTTCAATGAATGAGTACAAATTTCTGAATAGAAAATAAATATATGTGGACTGATATGTGATTTTTCAGTTTTCATCTTTCTAAATCAACTTTTGTGCAATTAGAACTAAAAATTACCTTTTTTTTTTAAAGCTTTTATTTATTTGACAGAGAGAGACACAGCAAGAGAGGGAACACAAGCAGGGGGAGTGGGAGAGGGAGCAGCAGGCTTCCCACAGTAATTGAAGACATCACAATGCAATGGAAAGAGAATTAGCTGTCTAACCATCTGACCCTAGGAAAGGTTTTCTAGATTTCAGTTTCATCTCTAAATGGAAATAATAATACTCAAGTGGCTTAAAAAGTATTGTTATGTTATCTGCAACTCCTATGATATAAAACTAATTTTTTAAAAAAAATTATTCCTTTGACAGAGAGAGCATGTGCAAGCACAACCAGGGGAAGCAGCAGACAGAGGGCAAAGCAGGCTCCCCACTGAGCAGGGAGCCCGATATGGGGCTCTCAATCCCAGGACCCTGGGGTCACGACCCAAGCCAAAGGCAGACGCCTGACTAAGCCACCCGGGTGCCCCGATATAAAACGAATTTTAAAATCCTATTTTAAAATGAAATACTTATTTAAATACTTTGGTCTATAGTTAAGTTCATTCCAAGAAGAATTCTGAGGATTAAGACCTGCAGTGTCCATCACAGCAGCCATGAGCCACATGTAGCTAGTGAGCCATGAAATGTGGCTGGCTAGTCCAAATTGCAATATGTTCCAAGTTTAAAATACAGACTGAATATATTGAAGATTTAATATGAAAAAAGAGAATTTTAAAATCTCATTGGTAATTGTTTTATACTGATTATATGATAAAATAAAAAATAATTTGAATATTTTAGGTTCAATAAAACACATTAGTACAATTAATCTTTTTTTTTTTTTACTGTATTCAATGTGGCTACAAAAAAGTTTTACATTATATATGTAGCTCCCATTATATTTCTACTGGACAATACTGACTTAAACCATTACCATCCTTCCCAGCTCTAAAATTCTATCACTGGGAGAGGCACTCTGCCATGGAACCTGAGTATCCCTGCACACTCTTGCTAGGGTTTTCAAGGATGCAAGGTCCTGACTGTTCGTTACACAGGTCATTTCTGAGTGTTGAGTTTGTAGGATGCAACCTTGAGAGATGAGGTAACGTCTCCCCCCCAAGGCAAAGAGCAGGCTTGTTACCATTCACCAAAAAAGCAGAGTGTTCTTCTGTAACGCAACCCACTGCATGCTCAAGCGTCCATACGGGGGCACCTGTGTTACCACTGAGGGATAAAGGGAACCAGTGGAAATGTGACGCTATCGCTACTGCTTTGCCAAGAGTAATCAAGTCTCTGACCCAAAGTCTCTTGTCTTCTGGCAGTATCCAGGAAACTAACAGACTAACTTATTAGTTTATATGGAGGGTAAAATTCCATACCCTTTAGGAGCAGGGCTGGGACCATCAAGTGAGGTGTCTCAGGTATAAAATTTAAGGAGGCACTTACTCTCATGCACCAACCATGTACTTTTCTAAATTCTTTATATGTTTTTAATTTATTTAATTCTCAGAGAAATCCTGCAGGGTAGATATAATATTCTGCTGTTTTTTTATGTAAATATACTGAAAAGGAAAAATTAGGTAGCAAGCCCAAGGAGGGGTAATAAGTCAGTGCTGGGATTTGAACCTAGCAGTCTGGCTCTATGTATCTCACTATAGAACACTCATATGGATTAAAAAATGACCCAAATAATGTAGGTAACTAGAAAATAAAAAATAATTCCACTAAGCAGAACTGCTATATTCTTCAAGTAGCTGCTCAAATGTTCTCTCCTCTGTGAAATCTTCCCCAACTCCCCTGACAATCTCCTGCTTTAAGTTCCCAACACACAGGACGTACCTCTAATCTCAAAGAGACTGTAATTCCTACCGGTGAGCAGGCAAGGACCACCTGGCAGCCACCAGATTCTATTTATCTCTGGACACAGAGGGCATCAAATAAACATTTGGTGCCAATGATAAAAAAAAATTCAGAGTGAAAGGACGGCATAAAGCTACTGTAATGCAAAACTGGTTATGCCCTAAGTACAATGTAAGATAACAAAAATAATCTATTGCCATAAACTCAGACAACCATGGTAAGAGAAATGCATGTCTAATTACACTGTTCTCCTGACTACAAAAACAATATGATTTGCAATAGGTTCAAACCAAATATACACTGAGGACGTTATATTCTTGCCTCCTGAGACCTGTAAAATCTTTGGTTGAATTCAGGATTAAATAGGCAGGTTTTGATATAAATCACTTGGCTCTGGGAAGGCAGAGTTTAAGAATCAGGTTAAGTCAGAAATGGATCACTATCAAAGCTTTAATATACTTATTTCTTAAAGGGCAAAAACAATCTTACCTTGTTGCAATTCTCTGAAGATTTCTCTCTGTTTCTTTGTCTTTGACAACATCTGGCTTTACTCTGCACATCATTTCCCATTCCCGCTTCTTATCAAGCTGTGTTATAAATATTGTTATGTGAAAGAATATTAGGCATTTTTGAAAGTGCAGCATACTTTGATATGATACTCTGTGAAAGGACAAAGGTAATAAATCATTCTGGCTTAGTTTGTCACAGGGACTGAAAAAACCCCACACTTTTAGGGGTTCAGCTCAGGAGGCCTGTGGTTAGCACTCAGCATGTCATGTGAGAAGCACAAAGTGAGTTTCCGTCATGCTCTCTGACAGCAGGGGCCTGGAGAGCTGCCAGGATACTGAGGCAGGCAGGACAAGGTAAGGTGTGAGAGAGCCACATGCTGGCCTGCCACCACCAGATCAGAGGTAAGCATCAGGAAGATCCCAAACTACTGGCTTTGATAACCACAAGTTTAAACAGTGTTTATTTTTCAGAAACTGTCTTTCTCAGCAGTCAGAATAATTAAAAAAATTTGTATCAGCTTTTAAAATAATAGCATTGTATCCAGGAGTACTCTGGTCCTAGGCACCTGACTTGCCACACCAATACACTGCATCAGTATATACTGCTGTCTCAGGCCAAAATATCACCTAAGATCAAATATACTGAATATGATGAACTGATCACCAGGAAGCTAGTGAGCATCAAAGGCAGTAGTAATAAGAATCAGTGGGAAGAAAAAAAAAAATCACCTTTTACCTATTCCTTTTCTGCATCCATCTAATCTCTTATTTTTGTATTAATGAAAATGTCTAGCATAGTAAAATCAAATTCCTGCTCACTATAAAGATTAGCCTGATTCCTTTCTAAAAAGAATAGATTCCTCCCAAATCAGATAATTTACTTTGTCATGAAATTCACTATCAGATTATGCCAGAAATTTAGAAATCTTACTTTTAGGTTTAAAACAGTTGATTCTTCATTATCTGTAGTACCCAAGGTATGCACAATCCCGAAATATTTTTTAACTCTGAAGTATATTTTTATACTTATGATCAGAAATAAGTACTTGATATTCTGGAAACTGATAATATCTAACAGTAAAAAAACAATGATAATTGACACAGACTCACGCAGGAATACATGATAGCATTTGTAGCAGCTGTGTCCTGTTTCTGGTATCAACATGTGTGTTTTCATGCATTATGTGAACAGTATCATCTCCAGCACTCAAAGGACTGGCCTAGAGTTACAGACTCATTTTTCTTGGCTTCAAAATGTTCTTACTTTGACTAGAACACTGGGACTAGAGGTAATTAAAGATTCTGATATTTTTAAAGCTTCCGTCAGCTTTTGCCAGATGACAAAGATTCAAATTTTCAGTTGAAAAGCTATCAGTTATCTTAAAGTAAAATGAGAATATTGAGTAGCACGGTATGTTCTATTTCTAAAAGCAACACTTAAAAAGTTCCATCTCCATACAGCCTTTTGCACAGAATACTAGTATTTGGAACAAAGAAAATAATTCACCTTGAAACAAGATAAGGGGATGATGAAATTAAAAGGAAATATATGTGGGCGCCTGGGTGGCTCAGTTGGTTAAGCGACTGCCTTCGGCTCAGGTCATGATCCTGGAGTCCAGGGATCGAGTCCCACATCGGGCTCCCTGCTGAGCAGGGAGCCCGCTTCTCCCTCTGACCCTCTTCCCTCTCGTGCTCTCTATCTCTCATTCTCTCTCTCTCAAATAAATAAATAAAATCTTTAAAAAAAAAAAAGGAAATATATGTCAATCTAAATCTATTTTCCTTTCATTTTACCTATAAAGTACCTCTTGGAAATAGCTACTTTTATATTGTCAGTATGATCATAGAAAGTTATTTTTCTTTCATTAAAAAATGGTACTTATTTCACTAACCAAGTATTTTATTTTATATTTATTTTTTTAGACACAGAAATACTTCATCAAGTATAAGGGATTTAAAAACCTTATTATTGTTTCTTTATTCTTATAAAACACAACAGCAAACTGAAGTCCAACTTTGGCCTTGAATCAGCAGACTGTCCTAGTCTAACTTCTAGCCGTGATTTAAAAGGTATAATGAATTCGAGTTTATTCAGCAGTGAAACAGTCCGTTTTCAGAACTGCAACCAATCCCTGACAAGGACATCTTCACAGATTTGTATTACAAAATAGGTTGTTAGTAAAAAGTAACTAACATGATTCTACTGGTTCAGAATCTAATAATGTTAGCATATGGACAGCTAAATTGAATATTTAGACCCAGGAGTCATGGCCACATGTCTAATCTACTTGAGTTTAAAAGGTTAAATTTCTCAGTAGTTTAATTTCTATTTCTTTGCTTAGATGATTAAAAAGTGAGCATGCTCAATGGAGTAATTTAGACTAGGCCTCTGTACAAAAGCTTGGTTATTCACCCTACATAAAAAAGCAAGTTAAAAACTGGAATGTTAATTGGACAAACACTGCCAGGAACAATTTGGTACAGATAGGAACTAGACTAGACTAGGCAAACAATCTAATCTACAAAACAACTGGTAAGACACACCTGTTTTCTCTTCTCTAGTCTCTCTTGCTTTAATTTTTCTTTTTCCTTTTCCAGCTCTCTGTTTTTGACCAGAATAGTGGGTTTACTTTTAGGAGTTTTTTTGTTAAGAATTTTAGCCATGGCATCCGCCCAGCCCACGTTAGTTCCAACACTAGCTTCAGCTGCATGTTCATTTCCATTGCCACACAGTTCAACTTCATCTTCATTGTCAGCTTCCACTGCTTCATTATCTGAAGAAAAGTCATCCTTTTCTGATCCACAGCTTCTTACAGAACCTAAGAGTAGAAACAAATTAAACTTTAACACTGGAGGAAGAGGTTGTCAAGGCCATGCCAGACCCCCAGGACCCGTCAAAAAGCTAACAGTTCTCCATCTGTCTTCATTTTCACAAGAGGGGAACTTTGTGAATTCCACAGCTACAGTAATAGCAGAGAGCAAAAGGGCCCTCCATCCTACTGCCATCAGCCCCCAGAGACCTGGCCCAGCCATGCTGGGCTTCAGCACCCAGGACCCAGGACCCAGGCAACAGAAACAAATCCAACAGCCCACACCACCTCCTATCGTCAAGGGGCCGGCAGATGCCGACATGGGAGCAGTGTAGGGTGTGGTGTGTTCAAGTCCATGGGCCTTACTTGTGCCATTAAACTACTTAAAGAGACTAATGAAAATTATTTTTAATTTTCATTAACAAAATGAAAGTTTTGTTTTCATTAACAAAAAAAAGTTTTTTGTTCATAAACAAAAAACTTTAATCCATCAAGAAAATGTTTCCATGGTACAGAGAAGTCAGAATAACCTCTCTGGGGATTTGACCCAGATATTTAAAACTCTGAATTTGTGTACAGAAAAGTCTAAAAAACAAAACAAACAAAAAACCCAGCCTCCTTTTATAGAATTTGCATATAACATTATAAAATTAGGTATTTACCATTCTTGAAAAATAATAAAGTAATATCTGCCCAAGAAACTAAAGATTCAATTGCACAACTGGGTGACTGAATGACACTATCAAGTTCTGAGTTGCAGATACAAAAGTGTACTTTTGGAATTGTATCCTGCACAACCTCCGAAAAAAGCATATACAGGTTATTTCAGCTAGTTCATCTTATAAGTTTCAAATAACTGGGGTCAGCAGCTTGGCAGATATGAGTCTAGTCGGTGGCCTTGCTTGAAAATCAACTCATTGAGAAGCTTTTGTAGTTTAAGTTTTGTGGCCTTTCTCAACTTCTGAAGTTCACTGTACTTTACCAACAAGACCACAACCAGCCAGCACAGTCCGCATACATCTATACGGTCCAGAGCCTTTTGGACAGCTTCTGTTTTGTTCTTCAGAAGCCGATGGAACTTATTAGGAACTACTTCAAAGGAGAAAATCGTCCAATAGCTTAGTAACTTGGAATGTTTCTTAGTGAGGAGCAGAGGAGCTAACAAAGCACTTCCCTTCAGGGAGCCTGCGTGGGTCCAGCTGCGCATACCAAAGCTAAGCATTATAACCACAACCTCTGCTTCTACCTCTGAGAAGTCTCATGGTTTTTTGTTGTTACTTCAAAATAATGTACCTGCTTGTCAGCTCTAAGACCCCCTTTCTTCTTTAAATAATTTCAACGAAATGTACATATTCTGCTTTCAAGTAACATTTCAGCCTTTTTTTTCCCCTTAATTCAGCTTCCTGCCATGACCAAAATGATAGGAGCTGAAAGTACAGTCGGCTATTAATGTCTGAGTGATCCTCTCTAGTCTCTCGACTGTAAACCATGAAGTAAGAGAGAACTGCCAGAAAGATCTGACTTAGCTAATCATTATAATACCTGCAATTTTGCTATTACTTTTGCACAATACCTTTAAGTGTTGGAAATTCATGAAATGAAAAATATGTAAAACTTAATATTTAGTACATTAAGATAAAAATTTATAACCTTAGAAAACAGCAAATAAAAACATATAAAACATTTTATAGGTATAGAAAAAATGAGCCTCAAGCAAACAAGTAAAAATAAAGTATCTTCAAAGCGTGATAAAAGTGTGTCAGTGTTATCAAAAAGTAACGGAAATAATAAAGGAAACTGCTAACAATTCCACTGCTTAATGTGCTGCACATTTCTCAGTAAAGAGAAAAAAGTTTTAAATAGAAACTCATTTGCCACATATTTAATTTGAAGTCTTCTATATATCCTGCATGCTGGGGAAATTTAAGAAATCTGTGGACATGTGATTCTAGGCTTTGACATGTGAATATAGGTGATTTAAGAACTTTACTATTTATAAAGTATTTTTAAAAGTATCTAGATTTTGGGGTGCCTGGGTGGCTCAGTCGTTAAGCGTCTGCCTTCGGCTCAGGTCATAATCCCAGGGTCCTGGGATCAAGCCCCACATCAGGCTCCCTGCTCCACGGGAAGCCTGCTTCTCCCTCTCCCACTCCCCCTGTCTGTGTTCCCTCTCTTGCTGTGTCTCTGTCAAATAAATAAGTAAAATCTTAAAAAAAAAAAAAAATCTAGATTTTGCCAAACAAAAGCTATTAGCACTATCATTCAATTCAGTGAATCTGAGTGTCTACTATATACCAGATTTCAGAGTCACACAATTTTTCCCTCAGAAGCACCTCCTCAGACCAGCGTTTCTGGAAAGTACACTGAGAAGCAAAGTTTGGAGAATGTAATTACCTGAAAAATAAAGATGTTAATACTATACGTCTTATTTCTCAGAGTCAGCAGCATTGCACACGTATTAGTAACAAAATAAACAATTATTTGACAAGTGCTTCTTCTAGTACGAATTTCTCTAAATGTAAAGAGACATAATGTCTTAAATGTTTGTGTGACTGAAGACTACCTGGGTGATCAAAAATAGGTTTCACCAGCCCCTGGTAAAATGTCAGAACTACAATACTGACATCTAGTGTTCTGTCCTAATGCATTCGCACACAAATGGCAACAATTTCACTTTCTCAGTTGCACTGTAGAGACAGCCACGAGACTTTACAACTGTATGAGCTACTCCGATTCTCCACTTCCAGACTTTGGCTCTTTTTCTTAGTATGTTTCTTACCCAGATTGACTACCACAATATGCATATTACAGGCACATAATACATCTGTGAAAAGTCTTAGAATACCATTTTATACAATCTGCATAAACCAATTCAACAAATTCTAAAAGAATCCACTAAATTCATAATTTTTATTTGATTTTTTTAAAGAAGTTCTAGCTGAGAGGTGTCTGGCGTTCACTGCAAATGGAAATGATCACATTTTATATAAATAAAAAATGCCAATGAAATGAGGTCCTCCAGCATACTAAAAACCAGGATTTACTTCTAGGATACTAAAGATAAAACAAATCAGCAGAACTGGTTCTTAAAATTTTACTGTATCCTATGAAATGAGATTTTTTTAAAAATTTTCTACTAACTGATCTTTAACAACAGAAGCTAAGTGCATATATCCAGGGCACCAGGTAAGTAAAATTCCTTTGAAGCCTTCTGTGTTATTTTAAACATTAACTCTAAGTTTGCATTCTATTTTTGGAATCTGGAAATTAAGGAAGGGCTACAAAGAACACTTACTGGAAGCAATAACTAATGGTTCCAATATAACTTTCCGCATTCATGGAAATGTTCTATTATCAAAGCTGCCCACTAGCCATTGGGCATCAGAGCCTACTGAATACTTCAAATGCAGCCAGTACAACCAAGGAACTGAATTTTTCATTTTAATTACTTTAAATTTAAAAAGCTCCATGTGGGGGCACGTGGATGGCTCAGTCGATTAAGAGTCTGACTGTTGATCTCAGGGTCTTGAGTTCAAGCCCCACATTGGACTTCATGCTGGTTGTGGAGCCTACTTAAAAAAAACAAAAAAAAAAGCCACATGTGGCTAGTGCTACCAGCTACCATACTGGCAGGGAATGGTTAGACTTCCAAGATTCTGTGGTAGACGTAGGCATTTCCCATCTCCCGCTGCCTTTTCCCCAAACTTCCAGCTCCCTTTCAAATTTATCTGTCCCAGATATGGTTAGTTGGCTAGAAAGTAGGATAAAGTTTTAAGAAGACTCACAGTCCTTCAATATTTACTGAGCACTCATGAATGATGGGGAAGGGGAAAACAAAAAATTTAAGTCCAGGTTTCTCTCCTTGAAGATGGTCCTACGTTTAGTAGGGTAGATAAATCAGTTAACCAACCACAAAATTTGGTTTTACAATATGCAAAATTTGTCAGTGCTCTTCTGAAAAAAAAAAAAAAAAAGGCAACGAAGAAAGAGTGACTGTTTGGGGGTGTCTTTTACAAAGATGATATTAAAGTTGTTTCTTAGGTAAAGCAGGGGTTTGAATGACAAGAGAAGGGAGGAGGCCAAAGAAGTAAGACTGCACAACCCAAGTGCAGTCAAAGATGCAGGTGGGGATGGTCACTAAATCTACAACCAGAAACGCCCTAGATCTGACTGAGTCAGTGCCCTGTCTAAAAATTAAAATTATGATAATCATCATTATGATGGGCATTCCATCATAATGGAATTCCAGGCAGAATAAACCAGTATGTCCATAGGCATGGGAATATGAAAGAAGGTGAGATGTTTATGAAATGACAAGACGTTCAGACTGGCTGAAACCGGATCTGGAAACTGGATAGTAAGACCTGAGTTTTAAAAGCTGGCTGGTTTATAAAAATGCTGGTCTGATTTACGATCCAAGAAATAAAATATGCACATTAACCCCCAAATTAAAACCAAGCGGTTTAAAATTACAGCATTATAGGTGTGTGTTTCCAGTAAGAGGCCAAACTGCTAGTGCTTTTCTCTTACCTTAGGCCCTTACTTTTAAAAAGTTTCTCTATTGGATAAGAAGGTTGTTCTTTTAAAATACAAATACCATCTGGGAGCATTAAGGTTATTGGTTAACATTTAACTTATTTCACACCTTTAGAATAACTCTAAATCAAACAGAATTCCTCATAAAAACTTGGTAGAGATCAGCTAGTAGTAAAGAGTATGAACACAGAAATCAGGCTGCCTGAATCCAATCTCACCTCCAGATACAAAATCCCCATCTGTAAAAATGGCAATAAAATAGTATTGACTTCACTGGGGTTTTGTGATAATTAAATGAGTTAATATATATTAAAGTTCTTAAAAGAGTGCCTAGCCCATAGTGAACATTTAAGTGCTGATTACATACCACACACAGAGACACACACGATAAGAATTTTAATGTCATTGTGGAGGGGAAGTAACAAGAAGGAATACCTCTGGTAGCTGGAATCTGCAAGAAGTGTGAGGTGCTG